TTTTCCGATTTTCGTTGGGAAACCGACTTTGGCGAGGTGGTAAACCTAAAATTAGGATTCAGCACCGCAAAAAACATAGGGAAGCAGTGAGAAAATAACTTACGCACTTTGTTTTTCTTCGGCAAACCCTTCGTTGACTAGACTATATGTCAGAAGCTTTTAAAGCGTGGATTTTGCAATTTTTATAGCAATTTACTGTTGAGCACCACGGATTTGAAGAGATCACCTTAATCACAACCTCAAATGAGCAAGAAGTTGCGAGAAAAAATTACCAGCACAAGCAAGGTAAAAAGATATAAAGAGAAGGAGTAACAGATCACTAAAATCAATCTCAGAGCAATCACCGAGCAGCATCTCGATCCGGTAACAAGAGTCTGAAGTAAATTAGTAAGATTTGTTCTAAGTTTATAACAGTTATTCTTTAAGCTCCTTTCCTATCTATCCTAATTTCATTGATCACTTCTCAAAGGGGATGGAAATAATTCCCCTTAAACGAGCATCAGCAAAAATAGTAGCAGATTCGTTTCTAAATAAGTATATTTTAAAATACAGAGCCCTAGTACAAGTAATATCGGATAATGGGAAACAATTTGTTAGTCACTTATTTAAAAATCTTTGCGCAGGACTTGTCAGACGCCATCTAAAATTGGTACTATATAGACCGCAATCGAATATTGCGGAACGTGTAAATAAGAACATTGTTAAAATTATTCGGGATACATTAAAAATTATTATGACCGTTGGGATAGCTCCGTCAATGAATAAGGCTTTGCTTTAAGAACGGCGAATCACGATACTACACAAAAAACCTCCGCAGAACTCTTTTTAAGGAGGAAGATTTTAACTTCTTTAGGTAAACTCTTTTTTGTGCAGCAAAGGGAAGAGGAATTTAAAGGATATTCAAGAAATCATAAATGAAGCGATTAAAAATTCCGATGTAGTGAGGCATAAACAGAAGTTATACTATGACAGAAAGAGACTGGAGGTAGAATATGCTGTGGGTCAAAAAGTGTTGAAAATAAAACGTTCGTTATCGTCTGCATCGGAAAACAGAGTAGCGAAGTTTGAGCCCAGGATCGAAGGGCATTATGTGATTAAAAGGATTAGATATGCGACAGTTTATCTAAAGGCTTCAAATGGACAGGAAGTAATTGCTAACATTTACCAAATTAAACCATACTATAGCCGTACTGATTTCGAAGTATAAAAAGATTTATTACGGGATCCTGGAAGCCTGCCAAGAACTCTAGTTAACTGTCCCCAACACAGAAAAGAAAACAGACGGAAAGTTTGGAGGACAGGCCGGCTAAAAGAAAGCAGTCGAGACAAGGTTCAGTGTGAGCGTAAAAGAGAAAAAGGAAAACTAAGGACAGGAAAGAAAGTTTCGCTACAACGAGAAAAGCTCCAGTGCCAGCGGAGAAAAGGAAAGGAACAGCGGACGGGAAACCAGTGAAATGAGTGGCATCACAAAGGAGTCCGGGAGCAACGAAGGAGGCCTCGGCGCCATATCCTTGCCGTTCCAGGTCCACCAGCGGCCGAGCGGTAAAGTCGCTGAACACTGGTAGTTCGGTCCGAGGTTCGAATCCCGCGAACGGACTGGCTGCATGGGTGTTTTCGTGATTTTCTTCATGTGTAATGTGTATACGAGCCAGTTTCCCTTAGAAAGTCCTCCACGAAGGGATCCCTCCCCTTAGGCAGATAGCCCTAGTGTGCTTTGCCATAATTAAATACACCAACACCCTGCCGTTCCAACAAGTTAGAAAGTCCAACAGGATGTTTAAAGATCCTCAGGAACGAAGTGGCCCCAGAAGGTCAAAAGAAGAGCTGAGCTCAAAAACCCTTAACCTACCAAGAAGTCTGCGCGTTTCATCGCCAGAGGAACGAAACGAAAGATATTCCGGCAGAGGAGCACCAGCCGCCCAAGGAGGAGAATCAAAGTCCAGAATATGCGATGTTCTAGGTGGGAACGGTTCTGTCACCAGAGAATGGAGGAGTTAAAAACCAATATGATAAGTGAAAATTTCCTTTGCTTGCTTTGCTAAATGCTGTTAAAAGCAAGAATTTTTTAATTCGTAAGTTTGCGAGAAAATATATTGTAAATATCTTTTAATCAGGAAGACTTGAGAATTCGCAAGTTACGAGAAAGTAGATTGTAAATATCGTTTAGCTGGAAAGACTTGGAATAATAATAAAAATTGATAACTTGAACTTAAAATTAAAAATTTAGGAAAAGATTATAAATTGTGTATAGCAACAACTATAACTGGTGATGTAAAATGAATTTAAAAAGGTTATATGTTAAATGTGGGAAAATATTGTTTTGAAAGTAATTTTTATATATATATAAAAGGGCTTTAAAGTTAAACTTTGTTTAAATTTAAACTTTGTTCAAATGCAAATTTAATATAAATGAACGATTGGAAAGAAAGTACAGAATGAATGTGTTAAAAGTTAGGCTCTCCAGCCAAAAGTGAAAAGTTTAAATCAAGCTCTCTTTAGCACATTAGGTGCAGTTTCGTATTCAGGGAGTTTTCGAGGTCTTGCATGTCAAATTCTAGCAGATCGTAGATGATGGTTAGTTGGTAGCGTTTATTCGCGGCAACATAACACCAACACGCTCAGTTCATTCAGAAAACATTTTTGCAGAACGTAAGAGGAGTTAAAAATATGTGTCAATGAAAGAAAGCTGTTTGAGGGCCAAAGAATTGCAAATAAAATGCATTTGTAAGGGAAATGGAAATTTTTCGTAAAAACTAGGACTACTATTTTTTCCTTCCAGATAATTTAGAAGGGCTAAGGCAGATAGCACACTGTTGTCAAGATGAAGCAGATGTATGTGCCAAACCATACTGTAAATTGTAAAAATTATTTTTTCTTAGTTTAAGCTTAGCTTTAGATTTTTTTTTTGTAAAGTTGGCCATAACAAGAATTCAAGGAAGATTTCAATGATGAGAGTGATTTAAGAAAGCAGAGTACTAGAAGTTTAACGTTAAAGTGTTAAGAAGTTTCGTAAAAATTAAACTCTTAAACAAGACCGTTGTGAGACCTTATTGTTCGAGTAGTTAAATTCTGGTGGGGAAAGATGTAAGGTTTATCGTAAGTTTATAACAGTTAATTTCAAGTTAAAGCTCCTTCCCTATCTATCCTAATTTCAGCTTACAATTTCCTACCAGAATAATTTAGAATTGATTTTTATGTAAATGAGTAGGAGTAATATAAGTCGAAGTTCCAGTGACTTCGAGAGGGAGAATCAGAGTTTCTGACTAGCGCGCGCTTGCCTTTTGGCCAGGTCTCTCTAAACTGTTACTACCTTCGGCCGCATTACGTGCCCTTGATGGCTGCTAGTTAATTCGATATTTAGGGGCCAACTAGTTACGTTTGTGTTAGATTCGGCTACATCTCTTTAGTTAATCATAAGTTAAGTTCTTATTTCTTACAGTTTTGAATTTAAGCCAAGTGGAGGCTTTGCTGTGCGTCCTGAGAAAGGGGCCGACTGTAGATATTCATTTTTAGCAATAAAGGGTAATTAACCCTTCTTGAGTTTGACGTTTCTGTTTCTGGACAAGCGATTATTCGCTTAGCTGTTCACTAGGCTCCTCCACACTTAAGTTGTTAGATACAAGGGAGGAACACCACAAAAGGAACAAGAATCTCAGCTACTACAGTGCGTAGACGCCTGCACAATACATACACAATTTCTCTGCCAAGAGTGCAATACAGGTCTGTATGCAAGACGACAAGCTGTCTGTGTCCCCTTAACCTGAGGAACAGAGGTGCCCGTTTATATTGGGTGAGAGCACGTCTTCTGGACCAATCAACAATCGGCGTCTATTCTCTCCACAGACGAGTCCAGGTACACATTGAAGTGTGATTCAGGTCATCAGATGATCTGGTGGAAACACCGCACCAGATACAACCAACCCCACATTGAGGAAAGACACAGCTACAGAGGTGGTGGAAGAATGGTTTGGACTGGGATCTCTCTCGGTGGTCAAATTATTCCATGGAGGAATTTTGAACAGTGTGAGTTATTGAGATGAGATCCTTCATCAATATCGCTGCTGTTATTAGTTCTGAATTTCTTCCGATGGACTACAATGCGAGACTGCACCAAGCTCGGGTTCCTGAAGAATATCTTGAGGGTCACGGTATGGAGCGGATGAAATGGCCAGCTCAATCCTCAAACCTGAATCCGGTAGAGCATCTTTGGGACTACCTTGGGAGGCAGGTTGCTGCTTTAATTCCTCCTCCAAGGTCGTTACTTCCCATTTCATTGACCGACAATTTAATTGACAACATGGAACGTCGCTGCCGCCAATGTATTGCAGCTAGGGCAGACACGTTCCTTATTGGAACCCATTTTTGTAATGTTACCACCTCATTTTTCCTCAAGAAACTGTGATGTACTGTACCATTTTTTGTTGTAATTCATGTTTGTGTTAAACTTCAGAAACATTCTATATCGCAGTAATTAAAGAACTGTTTAGTGAACATGTCCTGTAAATTTCTTGGTTGTATGTTGTTTCATTCTCAAATTAGACACAAAAAACATACTGTCCCTTAACTTTTGGAGGGCAGTGTACTTATTATATTATATGGCCACAAATGCGTACAAGAAACTCAGTGTAACAGCAAGGACAACTAGTAACATGCGCTAGCTAGTGAAATCAAGCTCTGAATAAACTGCAAGATTTACCCATTTAAATAGTCACTTCACTTAAATTCAAATTTCCATCTTGGCGAGGAAATGCAAGGGGAAAATGAGAAGTTCAGGAAAGGTACAAAACATAAAATAGTTTGTTATACAAAATAAGGGAAACCCTACCAAGTAAAAGATTCAGGAATGAACTATTTTGCTTTCACATTAACTGCAATAATTATGTTCTATTTCCTAATCTGTAACAGCATCTTTAATCTTTAAATGTGTAATGACTATAAACATTGTCTTTAGAGAAGTACATTTTTTATTGTTCAGATTTTAAAGGGGGGGAAAATCTTACCTAGGATAGTTTTCATTGGCGGTTTCATTCCATGCTTTAGTAGACATTTTCATTTAAATAAGAACCTAATAATATTAAAAAAAAAAATAATAATAATAATTTTGCTGAATTTTTTCTTCATGTCAACAGCAATAAGTCAAATAATAATAAGAATAATTAATAATTGAGTAATTTATTACGAACTGATTTAAGAATAATTGAGAGAAATTTATATGAGGATACTTTTTTTAATTCATATAGCAATAAGATATGTGTTTACTCATTTTACCTTTTATTACTAAGGTTTAGTAATACGCAGTCTATAATGATTAACTACATTATTTTTTAACAAGTTATAATCCACAATAGCCGTTTTTAATTCTTGAAAAAAAAAAATTCTTAAAAATTAATTTCTGAACTGAAGTCAGCAACATTGCTTTAATTCTGAAAAGAAGGGAAAATTGCTCTGAATTTAAAAAGCTAAGTGATAAATATTAAAATACTCTTTTATTTAAATTTCTGAAAAAAAATACAGAAAGCGATTCTAATGTTTTTTTAACAACAATTTTAAAATTGCTTTCTGTATTATTTGTATTATAGAATTTTATTTCGAATTCCATTATTATTTATTATTTAATATTATCAAAAAACTATTGACACATGAATCTTTTAAAGTTTATTAGTTATTATAAATACGGAAAAAAATGATTCCTTAATTTAAAAAAATATACATACCTCGTAAACAAGCAAGTTCTTCATAAACGTTTAAAAGCAGAAGCTGAAACAAGTAAACAGCTCTGGAAACTTTCGTAACCATAGCAACAAGAGCTTGCAGTTACAGTTAGGTTATTGTTACCCTCATACCTATAACTTTCGCAAGAAATAAATTTTGAGATATAAAAGAACGTTCTGTAGTTTTTAAATTACTAGAACTATTCGCTTTCGATTTTGAACAAAACTTTTCAAACATTATTAATGTTTCATTCTTTGTTTCTTTTATTACGAAATCTCCAATATATATACATAATGCATTAGCTTTGTTACTGCTGTTTGGCAACCGCAAAAAAATGTTTAGTCTGCGCTGTGTTTATTTCTGAGACGGCCCTGTCATCGAAATGCTGTTCCGGGAAGTTCCATGAGTTTAAAAGTTTTTATGTGACAAGTGTGATATTCGGGTTCATTATTATATCTCAGGATAAATACTCATTTACACCGTATTTGTTGATTAAAATATGACGCATTAATGTAATTTCGTGAACTTCTACCTGTGATACCTTCTAAAATAAATCATGTGGAGTCCGACTCACGTCCAGGTTACAGGTATGCCTCTGAATTATCTTTAAATCGTCAATTTATTTTTCATATGCCGCTTATACGCTGTATTGTGAAATCTTTCCACCTTTGTTAATTGCAACTAATTATTTTTTTCTTCAGTAGTGTTAACTAAGTATCTGCATTTCACCTTATATAATGTTGTTTATTTACTTATTTTTTTTCATAATATTACTGCAGCCAACAGCAAGTAAGAATGTGGTTCTAAGTTAGGTGTTCTTCAAATGCATAAAAAAAACGACATTTTTTCCATGAAATTAGTGTTTTTAATGAATCTATTTAAAGTTTTATATAATTCATTTCTTTTTTACATTTTAATTTTAAAACTTGCGAATTGAAAATTAAAACTTGCTCATTAAATCTAGTCATTTTAAAACATTGTTACTTTTAAAGAATTTTTCTTCAACACTAATTTTAATATATTTGTTGCTTCTTTTACAAATTAGATAAGTATTTTTAGAATTAAAGAAGCATTTGCATTTTTAATTTTCAAAAATTTTAAACAAGTTTAGAATAAATCATTAGACATCATTTAATGTAAAAGGAAGTTGTTCCTTTTATTTTTCAGTCAGCTTTAGATTTCTGTTATTAGAAATTTGTTTGAAAATTATTATTTGTTTTATAAAAATTCTTACTCTGTACAAATTGTATAATTAAACACATCTGTGTTATAAAAATTATTACTATTACTTCTTTATTTTAACAACTGTACAAATTGTATAATTAAATGCTTAATAAAAATTTAATTTTATCAACATCTAGATAACACTACATGACTGTATGACACAGCATTCTATATTTAACATTGTAACCTCTGTTAGTACATAAAATTGTCATTTCATGAATTTGTATTTCAAGTTGTAAACAGAGAACACAGTCTTCATTTCAGATTAAAAGATTATAGAAAGATGTATACAAATCACTTTTGCAATAGTTTGTGCTAAAAAAGTAATTTTATTTCACCTGATTGTTGTTTTTCAGTTTTGCAACAGCAAAAATTTTCCTGTTTTCTTGCTCGGCAAGAATATTCTTTATGTATATATTTTCATAAACATTTATGTAATAAGGAAACAGATTATTAGAACATTTCTGAAATGTGCATTCCTATTAAAAAATGTTTTCAAGCCCTGCTCTCTAACTGATAACCTTTCACATATTTATATTTCAAAGAACATGCAGTAAAATCAGTACATGATTAACTGCTAAGCAAAATAAGCACATGCTTAAGGAAAGGGGATACCACAAAAAATTTCCATTGCCAATTTTATTTCAGAACATTGAAGCTGAATCAAAACAGAGAGAGAAAAAATGAAGAAAAAACAAGCTTAAATAAATTTATGTGGGGTACCAAAATCTTTGACTGCTTAGACACTCTAAAAAGTTTGAATCTGGACCTGTATAAAATATAATAATTGCCTGTGTATTTGAATTACTTTATTGAAATTATTATTAACATAGAATATAATACTGAGCAAAAAACAGAATTCTCAATGTAATAAATTACTGCAGAAGTGAAGTAAAATGTTTCATAGCAATTATTTGTAGCAGTGGCAATCAACTATTGTGTTACATATGGACTTGTAGGCCATGGAATGTGTTTGCATAAGCCTATATAGATAAATACATCCTGAAATAGTATCATATTTACTTTTGCACTAATTTCTTTGAAAAAGAAAATTACATGATGCATGACATTTCTGACAGAAAGTATTGAAGGAAGACATATTAAAAAAATGCTAATTTTTCTGCCCTTTCAAAATACATGTTTTTCATTGTTAGATGAACTTACTGTACTCATAGCTGAATAAGGACTGAATATTTTATTTATTCATTTTTTTGTGTCAAATTTTTTATACAACCCCAAAAGCTTTATTCTGTATAAATGTGAAACAGCAAATTTGTTAGCATGTATAAAAGCCAAAATTCATTTTGTTGGGAGATGGTCTTTATTCGTATTTTATTAAAAATTGCATTTTTTAAGTTTTGGTTTGTCTTCATGACATATTTAAAATTTTTCAACTTTTTAATTTTATGGATTTTTTATAATATATCCTTTTGTGGTACTATTCGGTTTTGAGTGCCGTAAAAAAATTTATATCCTATGGATTTAACAATTTGGGGATTGCCCATGACGAAAAGTTGGCAATAGAATTCTGGGTAAAGTGCAGAATCACCCACTGCTTGATGCGTTTTTAAGAATTGCACATACTACTCGTATCCATGTACACATTCGACCTATTTTCACTTCCAACAAAAAATTCCTAGAATTGCACAAAAATGGCACTGCGCACACCCTTTGAGTTTATATATATGTACTCATTCGACCTATTTTCACTTAAAAAGTAAAAGAAAATTCACAAAAATCCAATTGTTTTTACCCTTGTAAAAAAAAGTTGCCAAACATGAATAAGTGAGAGCGATTCTGCACTTTAGCGAGAATTTTTTCAAAGAAAAGGCATCATTCATTATAGATCATTATGTTTGAACAACCAACGACATGAAACTATGCTTTAGCGATTAATCGGTAGTGAAATAGCGATGCAGGCATCATTCAGTTATTTTAGCAATTTTTATATAAATTATAATAATGATCTGAAATAGTTATTTACTCTTATGCTTCCATTCAGTCATGTTTAGCCTTTCATATAACTTATCTAATAAAAAAATATTATATGAAATTTAACCTTTCATCTAAATTAAAACATTAATTTTAGATAGTTATTACTATTATACTCCTTTCTTGCCACATTATTAGGGTTGCCACAATTATTTTTGGCAGCCTTGGCATCAACAATAGTGTGGCGATTTTTTACGGCCCTCGAATCTGAATAGAGTACCCTTTTTTATTATATTTTATGACATGTTTTTAATGATGAGGAATCAGCTGACATTTTAACATATCTGATTATAAAGGCAAAAATAGCATACTTGACTTTAAATGTCAGGAATTTCTCATTATTTGAGATTCCTTCCAAAAGTACGTTAAATAAAACAGAGTACAGAGTGCAGAAATTATTTGAAAGCCTTTAATTTCATCATGCTCATTCACGCACACACACATGCATGCACAAAAAAGGGGGGGAACAGAAAAACTAGATATATATTTTGTATAAACAACTTCATACAACATACAAGAGTAGCTCATGCTTTTAACAGTTTTTAATCATTAAAAAGAAAATATTTCCAATGAAGGCATTTTTAAGAATAAATTTTAATAAAAGTTTTTTAAAAAAAATAATTTTACTTATCACTTATGATGTTTCATGTGGAATTTTGTCATCAATTTTAACCGACTTTTTGATAAGCTATGGAGTTCAAATTTTGTACCACAATCTGTTTCTCGATGACGATGCAATGTGGTGAACCGATTTTTTCAGAATTCGTTTTAGGTTTTGTTTATTTAATGTTTAAATGATTATTTTGCACATATTTTTGTTTAGTGAAAAAATTAAGTGTATCAGAATTTTTATTTTGCACCACTGAATAAAGCTGAAAATGTTTTATGAAAATTCTAACTTCATTTCTGAATTTTACTGAGTGATTATTTTTTTTTTTAGACTATTCTGTCTTTATGATTTAAAATTCAACATCTAAAAAATGTAAAAAAGTTGTGAAATTTTTCACTGTTATAAAACACATCTTTGCTTCCTATTAAAATAAGAATGATGAAAAAAAAAAAAAAAAAAAAGGAGCAACTTGGTGCACTGGAGATATTCATTTTGTCATTTTAGCTTTGAGTAAAATGCCTGTTATAATACTTATTACATTTAATTTCTGAAATTGAATATTCAAAGCGAGTTCTTCCTTTTTTGAATAATGTTTGATTTTTTTTATTCATAATTTTCTTATAATTTATTGCTTGTGTTTTAATAATGACTAAACTTTTTATCATTGATAAAATAATTGAGACTAAAAAACCATAAAGGAAGTAAAAATAAAAAAAAGTTTTTGTACTATAAAACTTTTATTTCAAATAGCTATGATAATTGATGCATTTAAAAGGAGAAAAAATAATTTATCATATAGTTTAATGGGAATAATCAGTTAAAAAATAATTCTATTTACTGAATTCCTCAACAATTTCAAATCGCAGATAATAAAACAATGGGGTGTCTAAATAATGAAAATTTTTAATTGCATTGCCAAATTTATAAGCAATTTAATTGCATTTTTAAAAGTATAAGCCATTAACTCTTTTAATTATCATGGATTTGTGATATAAAATTGTAAATGAATTCTGTAAACATGTAAAAAAAAAACATGAATGTAGTGCCTCTAATGTGAATAGTAATCACCACCAAATCTATGATTTTCTGCCAATATTTTGATAGTTTTTCCAATCCTTTGGCCCAGAAACTTCGTGGCCATAAGTCCAAAAACAGATCTACCTCATTTTGGTCCTCTTGTGCAGAATGAAAGATAGCACCAGCAAGATGTA